TGAAAATTTTATTTATAAAAAGAAAAAGGAAAATTCCTTCCATTCCTCCCCTTCCTCTCATTCGGCCCATGGCCATTTCTTTCCCATGCCCAAAGACTACGCCCCAACCCACCCCCTTTCCCTTCTTTCCTGACTTGGCCCCGGCCAGGCCAAAGCAAAGCGCCCACACCTTTTAAAAACCAGCTTGACCTTGCAATCGCCCACCTCAAAAGCGCCACTTCTAACCTCTCCAATCTGGCGTCAAGGCGGAACTGCCCCTCGTGCCCCTCGGCCTGGAAAAACTCGTGCCCTCGGCCTAAAAAAGTCGCCCTCCCTCCTCAGCGCCTCAATCCTTTCCCACTTTCGCCTCCGCGTTCGCAACCGGAGAAAAGAATCGCTGCCCGAGGTCGCCGGATTTCGCCAAACCTCCGCTGGCAGCCGCCTCCGAGCCGCCTCGCCCTCCGATTTTTCGCCGTGGTGAGCTCGCCGTGGTCCCCTCTCTCCCCCATGCGTTTCATTTCGTGTTTCGTGGCTTATAGCGCCCAATCCGCGTCGCGCCGTGAGCTCCATGCCGCACGCCATGGCGCCCGCCTGGCTTTCCCCTCGCCTTTCTTCTCGACCCGCACAACCCCTTCTTCCCCGAACCTAGCCCCCTATCCGAGCTCGCCGTGTTTTTGCCGATGGCTAGCCTCGCCGGAGTCCTCTCGCCCGGCCAACAACCTCTCAGCCGATCTGAACTGGCCCATCGCGTGATCTACTACCGAAAAAGATACCCCCTTCGGGGTAAATTTGCTAAAGAGCCCTGGATTTTTCTAAGTCCTAACCCACCGCCCTTAGCGTATTTCCCGAATGCGCAATCCCGTTTAAACGTAAACTTCAATTATTTTAAGTCAAAAGTACGCTTTCGATTTTTACGAAATGCCATTCGAACTGCTTAAACTTATATAATTATCGTTTTAACTCCGAATTGATCCATTCAAATCGTGTTAGCTTCGTAATTTCATAAGCTACATGATGACGCTTCTGATAGTCAAGTTTGGAACTTTTAATTTCATGATTAGAATTAATTAAATATGGGGCTACAGGAAAACCCGCTTTAATCATAATAACTTCGTGATTTTAGCTCCGTTTTTCGTGAACTTCGCGTTGACGTGATCGAGAAAACGTAGATTAGTTTTACAAACATTTTATTTTGATTTCAATACTGTTGGTGTACTGTTCTAATGATAGGAATGTTTGCTTTGCATGAATGCTTTTGGAATGTTGTATGTTGCCATGTTGGTCGCGTTAGAACGGTGAGGAAAACATTGGAGACCAAGAACTCTTCGACGACCAGCGAGGAACAAAGACGAGTTTGTGAACCAAGGCAAGTATAACATGGGCCTACCTTGATGTCCTATTTCACTTTAATCAATTACTCATGTGCATGTGTCTAATTTTGATAACCCTAAGGATATTCTAGACAATTGATGACTTGTTCCCTTGACTCCTATTGGGTAATTGCATATGGGTAGATTGCTAGTGCTCTAACCCATGATCTACATGATGATGAATGAAACTATGGAACTAAAAGTATAACCTGATTTATAACAACTGCTCCATAGGGCGCTAAAGTGCAAATGACCTTTGTTCATGTTGCTCCCTGCCCCTCCATAAGGACTTATCTGCTTACAAAAAGCTGGGGATGACAAAGGCAACCGGGAGAGTCATATGGCTCGACTTTAGCTCAGTAATAGGACCTTTTCTAGCTAGTTAGAGGTTACCTTTTTGCGCAAATGGGGCTTGCCACGTTGGGTATAGGACCCTCCTCTGTTCCTATGTGTATAGCCGCGATGGATATGTGCCATAGGAAAGGGGTTCCTACATCTCGCCCGCCAAGGAAACCTAGCGGCCCTAACTTGTTAGGGAAACCTATGAAATGGCTTCATAGTGTACCCTGCCTACTCACATTGGAAGTGACATGGGAGTAATTAACACGGGCATATGGGGATCACGACTCACGGTGAATGTGCACCACCTCTGCAGAGGTAACAAATCATATAATAACCCCGTGCTCTGCGATTCTGAGCGGCCCGGAAAACTCACCTACTTATAATGTTGTTTATACGAGATGATTATGATGATGTCACATGACTCAATTGGATCGGATATATGATCACGTGGGTTTAAAAGGAGCTTAAGCATAACTTAATAATAGATGAGGATAAAATCTTGAATCTACTAAAAGTGCTAACTGCGAGAAACCAGGTCATCCTTTTTGAGCCTCATGAACCCCATGTTATCTTGTTGAGTACGGGACGTACTTACGCTTGTTTAATTTTCAATATTTGGATAAAAATCCGGATGGGTAACAGATGACAACGGATATAAGGAGTTTCCCGAGGATTATTAGGCTTGTGGTCAACCAGTTCGACCGTCCCGGTGATGGAGTTCCACGAGAGAGTTATCTTTTTATCTTCCGCTGTGTTATGTAAGTCAATGTGATGCTATTATTCGTTATGTAAGATACACCGTGATGATACTTTTTATAATTTGTCAACTTATGTGTGTGACTGATCCCTGGGCACACATGAGTTTAGTGCATTCAATTTTATCCTTAAAATTGGGTGTGACAAAACACTCGGCAAAAAAATACTCGGCAAAATAGGGGGTTTGCCAAGTGTAAAAAAAACACTCGGCAAAGAGCAGGTTTGCCGAGTGTAAAAAAAACACTCGGCAAAGAAATAAAATATTTTTTTTGGAAAAGAAGGAGAAGAAAAAAAATAAAAAAAAATCGTTGCCGAGTGCTAAATCTACGACACTCGGCAAAGAAATATAAAATATTTTTTCTAGAAAAGAAGGAGAAGAAAAAAAATAAAAAAATCTTTGCCGAGTGCTAGATCTGCAACACTCGGCAAAGAAATATAAAATCTTTTTTCTGAAAAAAAGGAGAAGAAGAAAAATAAAAAACCCTTTGCTGAGTGCTAGATCTACGACGCTCGGCAAAAAAAAATCCTGGAAATAAAAGCCGCACACCACCCCCTTGGTCACCCCGCACACCGCGCCCTCCGTCACCCCGCGCGCCCCTCCGTCCCAGCTCCCCTCTCCCTCCTCCTCCTCCGGCGCCCTCCCCTGCTCCCTCTCTGGCCCGGATCCGGCGTGGCCCCCTCCTCCTTGCTCTCCTGCCCGGATCGAGCGCGCTCACTTCCTCTCCCACACCAAGCGGCGTGTAGCCTCCACTCCCTCCCCACAGCGGCGGCGCTCGCCCTCTCTGCCCCCACAGCGGCAGTGGGCACCCTGGCAAGGAGGAGGCCCGGCCTCGGTGAGGAGGTGCCCCAGCGGAGAGTGCCCTGGTGAGGAGCCCCGACCCCGCGACGAGGAGCCCCGGCGGGTGCCCTGGCAAGGAGGATCCTCAGCGGCCTCCCCGGCGGCCCAGAGGAGCAGCGCCCTGGCGACCCAGAGCCCGGATCCGGCCTCAGCTCTCTCTCTCTCTCCCCTCCCTCCCCACAGCGCCACCCTCCAGCGGTGGATCCAGAGCTCCCTGTGGTGGATCCAGAGCGGTGCCTCCTTCCTCCGGCGGCGGATCCAGGGCGCCGGCGCCCCCACCCCCACCCCCCCCGGTGGCGGATCCAGGGCGCTGGTGGATCCAACGAGCGGCGGTGGCGGCCCAGCGCCGGAGCGGCTGGTGCTTTTTTTTTTTCAAAAAATGTTTGCCGAGTGTTTTTGGGGCACTCGGCAAAGTCTTCGCCGAGTGTCCGACGAAAAACACTCGGCAAAACTGCGTTTGCCGATAAACCAGTTGCCGAGTGTCGTTTGCCGAGTGTTAGCCGAGTGTAACACTCGGCAAACGGTTTGCCGAGTGTTTTTGAGGCTTCGCCGAGTGCCCCTGGCACTCGGCAAAGTTCCTGAATCCGGTAGTGTAAGCAAGTGATGTTTCAATTATAACTTATTAGAAGCACAGTTCTAGCAGTTTCAAAAGGCACTGCTAGGATTCAGATCTTGCTCAACGGCCTTCACAATCTGGAATTGCAAGAGTAAGTGCTTGTTGCACTGCATGCAATATCATCAGTGAAAATTGATGAAATCTGAGAAGAGCATATGGTTGATAGAAATGCTTCTTCACCCGACCCTGATGCTAGAGGTACTGATCCCGACAAGCGGCAAGGAAGCACAGTGACTGCAGTCTAGTGCATTTGCTCCAAGTTCTAACAGTAGGAAAATGCTAAATTTTGGTCTAAAGAGCTGTGACTGATTAATTATGATGTTGGCACATAGCTAGGCCGAGGTTGACCACCATACCGCGCATCACTAAAAGAAATTATTAGGGTGCACTATACCAAAAGCAAATCAGAAAATGGACTAAAAGATCAACAAATATGATTTTAAGCTGAGTGAAAGCATAAAATAGGGTACCGGTAGAGAAAATAAAAAACAATTTGATAATAATTTCACCTGACCAATTCTTGTTATGATATATATATTACTTTCAAACTTTTTGGGCAAACAGTTTGACAATATATATATTTCCCCAGCTAGCATCATTTTCTAGCTGTGCCCCTCACTTATTACCAAGCCAATTTAGTGAGATGGAAGAAAATATTTAGTAGTGGATTGTTTTCCCCTGAAAGTAAATTTGCTAACACATGGACACACTAGTGCTAATATATTCGATCTCTTCCATGTAAGCGCGCATATGATATGATCGATCGAGAACAACGAAGTAGTACACTTATTAAGGTGCCCTGGCCTAAAAGGTATCCCATTTTCAATTGTAATGTAATCCAGCATCTTTTAAATTTCTGAGGGTGTATATCAGTCTCTATCCCTGGCCTACAATTGCAAATTAAAAACAAAAGAAAATCAAGAAGAGAAAAAGAACTTTTGCGTGAGCAATACCTGCATCTAGCTACCAAATCACGCTTATTTAATTTATCTCTTAAACATCTAAAGACTTAATGTACAAATTAATAAAATCTATGGATCGATTTTGTTTCTTAGTTTGCACGGTGCATGGATGCTTGAAGTGATTTTGGACGGTTCATTCAGTGAAACATGTTGTGGCTACTACTGCTGAAGGTTGATCCCATGGCGGAGTAGATCTGCATATTGGTGAGAATGTGCTCGAAGTTGTCATTAGACTTCTCAATGGGGTGTGTATGGGTGCCCTCGTACGTGGTCACCACCACGCCCTCATCCCTTGACAGCCGCTGCACCTGCTTCTTCACGTTGCACCCTTGGTGAGTGCATCTGTAGTAGCTTCTGCATCCATAAATGCGTGCGAAAAGAATAAGAATTAGTTCACTCCGGGTGCATGAATCAAAAAGTAATAGCAAAACAAAGTGAAAATGTGCACGAAAGAGATATATGCCTGTATAGCCATGCATGTATGTACAAACGGATGCACACAAAAGCTGAACATGTTTGGCTTTGTATATGTGTATCAAGCTTCTGTATTGTTGCTTGACTAAGTATGTCAACCTATATATTCGGTGGAAGCATGCACTCATTTCTCTCTAAGAAGAATGTATAAGTTATCTGCAATTTCAAGTTGTGGTGAGGTCTAATGTCTTAATTTAGAAGATTGCACTGTTCATTAATTGCTGCTCCTTAATTGGCCTTGTTCTCATTATATTGTTGGACGTAGAAATAAGATAGAGGAATGTATTATTTGCATGCTTAATTCTGTGAATGCAATAAAAAGGGGTCCCTTTTTCTTATTACAATCAGCATTGATCTGTGTGATATTAAGTGTTTCTATGTATTTCTATTTCTATAGGAGTATGAGTTGAAAATGGATATGCCGAGGGTTCTAGAGTTGTGTAGATATATAATCCGCCGAAGCACGATGACTATTTTTTAGAAAATTTTATATATAATATGCCTCATCACTAATAGTTATTATTTTTGTTCTTTTATTTAAAGAACGACAAATTCAATGTGGGATTTACGAATTTGCAGTATATATATCCTTTCCCCAAATTCATATATACCACATATCAATGTTACTTTGGCATGATAAAGGCTTATTATGTCTTACAAATGCAAAATCTTAAATGTCTCCATAGTTGCATGGTCAGTTTTAATCTTATCTATGTTCATCATGAAAAAAAACTCCAATCGGCAGCCAATATAAGTGATGAATAACAATTTAAAAGCGTAATACTATATGTGCTTGCATGCATCAGATTTTGTTCATGACGTAATTACTGTTTGGTTCTCTCAGACTCTCAGTGTTTTGCTAGCCAGCATAGATGCTTGGCACAGACATGAACAAATGAAACGTAAGTATTACATCTGTGGTCCTTGATGCACATATGATGTGTAGGGATATGTGCAGTTCTTGCTTAACGTGTCTAGGTATAGAGTATATATGGCTATATATGATTGTCATGGCAAACTTTTTCGTAGAAGAAGAGGAGTCGATCAAGGATAGGAAAAAAAACCATAGACCCATGTTGATGAAGAAGCCTTAATTTTAGAAGAAGGAAGGCATTAAGTGCTTTTGGAGTGGCAAATTAAAGGTCCTTTTGATCTTGTAAATTTTAAAAAAGAAAACGCTAATGTCCTACAGAGTTGCATTTTTTTAGACACAGTGGTCAAATAAATTTACTTTTGGACATTTCTCTTTACTCCATATATGTAGTTATTTTTCTGCGTCAAATTTACTCGTCTAATAAATTATTTGAAGTCTTTGGAGTGTTGAAGCACCTCCAGCAACACTTGATGCTGAATCTGTGAACTTTATGGCCCAAAAATTGGAAAAAAGAAGGGTGGCCTTATCCTTTGGATGCCCAAAGAAACCACTTTTGTTCTCTGAAGCATATAAAAGACAGCGACGGAAGAATTAGCTTGAGCTAGTAGCTAACGAAGCATCGATAAATCCAAGAGCGAAATCAATAGAATATATGCTGCGGTTAACCGTGGGAGGACGAAATAACTTCCGGTCAAATTCGATCGCCATCGGGCTCCTATTTATTGAATGATCGATGCCCACCAGCAAAAACATGTGAATGAAACTAGGACTCGTTTTCATCTAGATGATGAGGATGCTGGATGAGAGATGAGACGTGTCCTTCCTATGTATGTATAAGCAACCACTAGCAGAGCTTGGAAGATTCACTGGGACTCCATCTCACCTCACCTACTTTCTGCGGCTCAGCCCTACTATTAACACTTTTAAAAACAAAGGAATCGCATCACACCAAATTAAACCAGTAATCGAAATAAATCCCCAAGCAGCAACAGAAAATCAAAATCGTAGGCCGATCGATCACAAAAATGGATCGGCATGCATACATAGTAGTCGTTGATGAGAAACACCAAACATTTTGATTGTACTATATATGAGGAAGAATTTGACTATTGACTGTACCATCTATGAATTGTGCACCAAATACGTACTAACCTTGGGAACTTGTTGTTCTTGACGGCCTTCTGGCCGTACTTCCTCCACCGGTAGCCGTCGTCGAGGATGTCGACCTGGCTGCGCGTCTGGAAGGCGTACCGTGGCCGGCGCTCCTTCTTGTCCCCCTTCCTCCTGGCCGCCGGCCTGTCCACCTCGCCGGCTGCAGCTGACGACTCCCCACGGCCACTATCGGCTGCTACTGGTGCACCACCATCCTTGGAGTCGTTGTTGTTGGACAGCTCCGCGAAGAAGGACGACGACGATCTGCCGCCATGCCCACTGTGCTGGCCTCGGTCGTGGTCGTGCAAGCCGCCACCGCTGGTTCCAGTTCCAGCAGTGGCCATGAAGTTGTAGGAGTTGGGAGTGGCGGAAGAGGGCTGCGCGTGCGTCGTCGCCCCAAAGAGCATGTGATAGTTCTCCATGGCTCAGCTCAGCTGGCTACTTTTGCGCCGCCGTGCCGGGCGCGGAAACTAGCTAGAGAGCTTGTGATGGAGGGAGGGAGGGAGAGGGGAGGCTGAAAGAGTTTTACAAGTTACAACCAGGGTTATATAGAGGGTGGTTAGTATAATGGTAATGCTAACCTGCCGGGGCGTTTGCTACTTTTTTTTCTGGCTCACATGCATCCTTCACTTTGACTGGCCTGTAGACTAGTAAAGGCAGCTTCCTGTGCTCTGCACATTCCACACAAATCAGACACATGCGTCATGAGATGGAGACTTGTGTGAGAGAGATGTTCTATAGGTCCTAGAAGACTAGGAGAGAGAGAGAGAGATGGGCAGTATCAGCTGTGAGTTTCCCCTGCGTGTTTGGTTGTCGTGAACGGCACGGAGCCTATAGCTAGCTAGCTGGGCAGCCAGCCAATGTAAAGGTTGCGGGCTAGATTTGGTGTTGTGGGTGCATGCGGACGCCGGGGCTGGGCGGGGTTTTTGGACGAGGAACAGTGGCGTAGGAGAGTGAGTGCCCGCAGGCGGCAGCAGCCTCTCGCCTCTCGGTGGTGGCTTGCTTGTCCGTGCATGCATGTTTGGTAACCAATCCGCACGAGCGCCTACCTTTGACCGTTCCACGGTTACTGCAGGTGCACTTTATCAATTGCTAATATAGGTTGGGTTCGTCAACCTCTCAGTACCAGATATATGTGTGCGTTGAAAATTGTAACATGTGTAAATATGTGATGTGCAACCATGCAGGAGGCAAGTTTGGCAGACATGCATGCATCGATCCCAATTGGATTGGGAATCTGATGAACCGGTATGGTAATTCTACTAAATCCATTATTCGACATCTTGAAAATTTCTCTCCACGTGCTGTACACTGACTGCAGGGAACAGAATCTAGCTAGCTGCAGGTACGGTGTATCCAATGATGGATTTGCCTATGTACAAGTAAAGACTACTAGATCGGGGCAAGATTTTTTGTTGAACGGTATGCAGGCATGCTCGTGGGGGCACAACGCAAAAGTAAAAGGTGTCACAGACGAAAAGGCCCAAAACAGAAGCCCTCAAATGCACGTTTTTTGATGAATTTTCTATGCATGAGTTTCGCAATGAAGAGTGAAGAAAGACGTCGCGAGGAAGCATCGTCGCAGTAAACTATACAAACTCAACCATTTGACACTCAACCATTTGACAGACAGAGGGCATGGTCTTAGCTTTTGGGAACATTATTTTCTTCCAAAACCTAATAGTCGTAAAAAATGTGACAAATGAAAAGGCCCTACCTATCATAAGCGCATGTTTGATGAATGAATTTTCAATGCATATGGTTTCATATTGGTGAACAAAGATGCTGCGAGGAAGCATTGTCTCCCTCAGTAAGCTACAAACTCAACCATATGACAACAAGCCCATTGTCATACCTTTAAGAAACATTATCTTCCAATCTAATGAACTTTGTTTAATACAAATTGAAACAGCCACACTCAGCAGCACAAGTATGCTATCGTGGAACAGTTTAGCTAGTAGCTTGGGTGTCAAGCTCAAAATCTCAAGCTAATTTGAACATTTGAAGTACACTATAGCTTGCGCTGGGTCAAAGCAAAACATTGATCGATAGATGTTGACCACAAGGCCAAGGTCCCTTGAATTTCTTGGAAACTTCTACGGAACTACTCCATCAGAGAATCTGAGCGTTCTCACATGTCATTTCAGTGGGTATGTATCCGGCAAATGAAATATTTTGTGATCACAGACTGTCACGGTTGTCTAGCTAGAAGTATTTGTATGATATGCAACTTATTCCCTCTGGTTCAATTTACATATCACTTATTATGATATAGTTACAGTCTACAGGGTAGGACTTTGACCATAATTTTTATAAAGAAAATGACATTCAGATAAAAGTGATTACATATATCTGAGTCCTTAGTCATGGTGATTGATCTAGTACTACTGTCTATCTTATATGTCGTTATAAACTATGTACTTCATCCGTGTAAGAAACAATACAATTCTAGTATAATACAAAATTAAAGTGTCTTGAGATTAGCTAACTATATACAAACAATATCAATATTTATGAGACCGAATAAGTATCATTAGATTAGCCATGAGATATTTTTTATAGTATATCTATTTGGTATCATAGACTTTAATATTTTTACCTATATATTTAGTTAAATTTTACATACTTTAACAAAGGACGCACCTAGAATTGTATTATTTTTGGGACTGAGGTAGTAATAATTTGTATCTTAATATCCAAAAGTTAATATAGTTTGACCTACTTATAGCTAGGAATCCTAAAAATTGAAGATACTCCATCCATTCTAAATTATAGTTTTACTTTAGTTTTGTCTTAAGTCAAGCTTCTTTAAACTTTGACCAAGTTTATAGAAGAATGTACCAACATATATCTAATATCAAATCGGTTCAATTAAATTATGTTAGAGTGCGTAACTCAACCTACAAGACTAGTATGATAGGTGAGGGTTGTCCTGCCTTATCTGTTATACTCCACACCATCAATTTTCGATGGGAGACTAAACCTAACAAACCAGAAATTAAGAGAGAGAGAGAGAGAGAGAGATATATATATATATATTTGATTGCAACTGCAACTGTTGCAAGTTTGGAATTGGCGATTTCCATGTAGTTGAACGCGCGTGCATGAATTTTCTAAATGAAATTATTTTAAAAATATTAAACACACATATTTAGTAGGATTGGATCGGAACAACAAAAGAGGTAATTAATGCCTGAGCAACAAATAAAGCAAAAGCGAAATCGATCGGTCAATGACGACCAGTTTGCGCGGAGCAAAATTCCTGCCCGGTATCGCAGGAAGCAGACACGGTTCTCAGTTCTCAGGAACACGGAAACAGGCGAGAACTTCTGGGTCTGCAGTCCAAGTCGTGCACGCGTGGCGTGGTACGTAACCGCTGCAGCCAGCTCAAGCAGCAGCGACATTCTCTCCCTAGGACCAGCTGCACCTGCACATATTCTCCTGTCAATTGTGTCGATCATGCATGCATCGATCAATTGTCGTGTGTTGAACTGATCTAGTCTTGCATGGGCGTGTCGACTGCACACGGTTTGTTGCCTAACAGCAACGTGTCGACTGTGCTAGCTAGCTAGCATGTTTTCCCAGTCATGCATGGACGTGCCTTTCTCGCTGCCGTGCCGGCCCATCGGCTAGCCCAATTCCTCACGCGGTTACCAGTCAGCCGTGGTCGATTCGCTGGCCGCGCATCGCAGACGTCGTCGGTCCGGGGCCGGGGGCCGGGACCCGGGATGGGGGGCGCTCCTTTCCAGGTCCTCCCAGCCGCAGCATGTTAACAACACATCAGTGGTTAGCTCAGCCGCCCCTTCACGAGTCTACAGTGCGACTTGGCAGCTGCGGGAGGCTGAGTCCCTCCTTCGGTCTCCACGAAGATAGAATTTCAAATATTTTGCAAAACATATGTGATGTTAAGTACTCGTATGGAGTAACTAGTATATAGTAAATACTACGTACTGTAGGCTCCATTCCACCGAGACCAAGGAAACTAGACAGGCTCCCAGCCCCTTTTTCCACGGAGCAAAGCAAAGCAAAGCATGCGGCATCGGCATCTGCTCCTATGCTATGGTCAAGGCATGCGAACCGGCAAAGCTGGTGCACATTGCCATACGACAGGGCAAAGCCGCAGAGTGGCACCGCATCGATCCAACGGATATATAGTATAGATTTTATATAGATGTTGATTTTATCTTCTATATACAGACTTATATTATTATTATTATTACTCAGACCTAGATTTTTTTTTTCAACAAGAAATCTAGAATTGGAAATTTTTAGACAGATACCGTACTATCTCTCTCCAAAAAAAAAAGAATGCAAAGTTCGATTCAAACCAATTTTATTGAGTTTATTGAAGAATTAGTACTTATTATTTAGATGTTATCTCTTTTTTTTTAAAAAATCGCAATTACCATGTTTTGGTCGTATAGTTAAGAGACGCCTGGTTCGTTCCTTGCGTGGAATAATCAAATAAATCTGCATGCGTGAGCTGTGCGCGCCCGAGAGATTTCGATGCAAGGAGGTAGAGGGACGCGAGTACTGAGTATGACAAAACAATTAATCGCACGGAGCACAAAGCATCACAAGGATTTACTCAGCATTAATTTCCTTCTTGATCTGTGCAACAAAGGCAAATATGACAAAACTCCGCTCGGCAGGGCCTTGGTTCGTGTGCGTCCGGACCTCGCCCGCTCCGCTCTGCAGGTTCGTCGACCTCCTCTTCAACAGACGCCTCCGCCTATCTCCCTCAATGGGTATCACGTTGTCCTCCTCCTCTGCTCCCCAGATTTGCTGCCGGCCTCACTCTACGACTCACCTCGGTGGGTGTCTGAGCCGAGGCGGCGTCAGCTGCAGGGACCAGCCCTTGCTGCTCATCGGCGAACGCGGCCACCTCTCACAAGCCTCTGCGCTTCTCTCTCCCCCCTCTTGCCTCGCTCGTGGTGGCTGCCGCTACCTGAGGTCCCAATCTTTTCCGCTCCCAGTCCTTCCTATCGCAGTCATGCCGGCCCACCACCTGCCTGCTGCCTCGGTGAATCTACACCAATGACGACGCAGGGCTCCGCCGATGGGGCGCCATCAGAGGTGCCGACCGCACCGCCGAAGATGCAAGCCGTCCGGGAGTCAGAGTCCGGCGATGGGCGGCCGGCTTGCAGCCGTTTAGAAGGTGGGCAAAGATAGTGTTAGTTGATCTCCACCCATAGGTCCAACGGTCTACTGGGTCCTTGGATCTGCGTCCTGATCGGGGGCGCCCAACCCTAATATGGTTGGTGGACCCCTGTCGCACAGCACTATATAAAGATAGGTGGGGATCATGGCTCTAAGAACGAGGTTGACTGGAGTTGCCGTAACCACCCACAGAGAAACAGTAATCCGATCAAAAGAAGAGTGCTGCCAGCAACGGGAAGCCCCACCGACTCCGCCGTCACCT